AACGATAACACTTTATGTAATAAGGTAAAAGGAAATGAAAGCCACCGGTATCCACTAGAAAAAATTTCTTTTACCCATTATAAAATATATCAGATGCTTCAAATCTAGTTGCAGCCAAAAACAAATTGAAAGAAAGCAAAGGAGAAGAAAAAACTGCAACCAAGTTATCGTCTTTCTAATACCAGCAAACCATATCAGTGAAAATTTCCACAAGAACCTGTTTTCATGAGACCGACATCAAATTCAAAAGCAAATCAGGTACTAAAGCTTTCAACTGATTCCTGAGAAACATAAACCAGGGAAACCAGGAAGATGTAACAGTATTTGCTGAATACACAAAGCTAGTGATAAAAGGAATACAAATGATGAGTAGGGCAGGTAATAACAACCCTAAATGAACAGCAAATACAATAACCAGTGCGGTATATCTTCCGTATTTTGCATATTATAGCATCAGGACAAATGAAAATGCTACAAGAAAAATGCATCAGAGCTGTTTCAAGCTTATTTTACAGTATTCTCACAAGGAGAAAAAAAAACCTTTCCTGTTATATTCGAAAAATCCGAATAAGAAAATGCCCCTAGCTAGATTTCATTATTCCAATGCACTACAATAATCTAAGCCAAATACTACCATAAACCATAGATTTTCTGTAAGAAAGAAATTTTCATTTGAAAGTTGAAATCCTCAAAAAACTTATTTCCTTTCATGTTCCACCATCTTAGCTACAATAGCCTATGCACTCATAGTAAAAGGAACACAGAATCTGGCATAAAGTCAAAGCTACAACCAAATTAGATCACACCCTTACAAAAATCTAATAAAAATCACCAACCAAAGATATCCAATCATATATAAACCTACGACAATTCAACTTAAATTGAAAGGACTGAACTGAAAATGAGCTGACCTGGGAATATACAGAGTTGAAGCAACATAGATTATCCATAAAATTCAACCCCTCTCCAGATTTCTCACCTTCTTCAGCTATAACCCAACATGTAAAAAGAAAAGAAAACTTTCCCCAGAATTCCTCAACCAGCATAATCAAAGAAAGAAAACTCTTGATCATCAAAACAGGCTAAACCCCAGATTCCTACAAACAGGAAAAAAAATAAAAAGTCATGAGCTGGGATTCTTTGAATTTCCCTTACCGATCCACCAAAACATCCACCAAAACACCCAAATTCCCAAGAAGAAAAAGAACGAACGGACCACACAGCTTATACAAGACTTGAACTCCCTCAATTGTTGACTATTTCCTCTGTTCTCAAAATAGAAAAAATAATGACAACAGCTTTGAATAGTACAGTGACTGAGACAGAAAGGAACAAAAGGAAATGAAAGACTTCGGAGGGGCAAAGCAGAAAGAAAATAAATAGGGAGAAGAAGGCAAGAGCTTGCCCTTATTGACTTTTCTCTATGCGTTTGGCTTTTATTTTTCTTTGTTTACCAGAGTACCAAGAAAGTTAATATTTGAGTTAATTGCATAGGAGGCTCCCAGATTGTGACACTCATTCCAAATTTATTTGTAAATGTTAAAACATTCTATATCAGTTCCCGAATAATAACTTCTATTCTAAATTGATCCTTAATTTTAGGCTAAATTTTTACAAGTGATCACCTAACTATAACTCCTTTTCATTTGATCATCATTTTTGAATTTTTTTCAATCAGTTACTCAACTATTTAAATGCATTCAATCAAGCTATTAGTCGTTAACATTTAACGGAGGAGGTGATGTGGTAGTTAAAAAACTTGGTATAATCACACGTTTAGTCTTTAATATTTGTACATTCAATCAATTTGGTCATAATTTTAAATCAATTTAATAAATTTAATATCCAAGTAGGCAATGATACATGTCACTACCATATTGGATGATATTTTAGTCATTTTAATTTATTTTATTTTGTACCCAATTAGTTCGTAACATGTATCATGGCCTAATTAGGTACAAAATGAAATAAAGAAATAATATGCAACTAAAGAAATTTGGACCCAAATTTTAACTTACATAGGAAGGCTTAAATCATTGGACCTTTCTTATCAACTTAAAGTTTGTGGATAATTGTTTATCTAAGTTAACATGGTACCAAAGCTCAGGTTATAATCCATAGATTAGTTTCCCCTAAATCTTTGGTCTACACCTAGGTTCACATGCAAGCTTATTAATCATTCATTAGCTTGCAAGTGAAGGGACATGTTGCCCTTTTGATAATTCGATATTTCAGAGAAGGATAAGCTTGCAAGCTAATGAAATATATTAAGAACACATAATTTTACTTTCATCTTTGTTTGTTTTATCCTTAACCATCAAAAAGATAACTTTGTTATATGCTAAGATTTTAGGCAGCCACTTTTTACTCAAAGAGAAATAATAAACAAAATCCATATTCTTAATTATCACAAATAGGAACGAAACTTTCCAGATAAAGCAAAACCAAAGTTAACATATTAAAAATAAATAAAACACATGCTCGTTATTATCTATTCCTACATGTGTAAAGTTTAAGAACCAAATTGATTGACTGTATAAATATTAAGGACTAAATATATAATTATACCAAACTTTTTAACTGTCATGTCACTTCATCCTTTAAATATTAACGACTAGTAGTTTGATTGAATACATTTAAATAGTTGGGTGACCTTATTAACAAAAATTCAAAAATAGTGATCTAAATGAAAAGGGGTTATAGTTAGGTGGTTACTGGTATAGTTTACCCTTAATTTTAAAATATTTTATATCAATTTCTAAATTATCATTTCATTTTTTATTCTTTTATTGATTTGTTATTAACTCTATTGATTTTTTAATACTATGAATATTTGGTCACTCAACTTTTGAAACTTATAAAACAGCTATCGAACTTTTAGTTCGTTTTCAATAAGATCTATGTCGTTATCTCCCATTTGTTTTTGCTGACGTGGAACTTAACTATCGTCAACCCCTTCTTCTTCTTCTTCTTCTTCTTCTTCTTCTTCTTCTTCTTCTTCTTCCTCAGTTGTTTTAAGGACCCATCGACTTTTACAATTGAGATAGTCGGGAATATTGATCCCTCAATTACAACTCCTCTAATTTTGCAATATTTGGTAGGTTTGGAATCTTTTAAGGGACATTGATCTACATTAATATTTAAACGAATTAAAAGTTCGATGATTGTATTGCGAGTTTCAAAAGTTGGGTGACCAAAATGTAAGCACCCTAAAAATTTAGGGACTATTTACATACTTTATCCTATTTTTAATATCTTAAGAATTGAACTCATAACTTTTGCACACACCAAGTTATTTTACTGATTAAAGGAATTATTGTTGTTCCTAGAGGTTATGAGTACGAACATTAGCAACTGCAATAAGGTGATTGAGTGTTCGTTGTTAAATGATTGAGAGTATCTAAAACAGATACTACTTTACAATCACATTTGTAATCACATTTAGCTTAATCATAACCTTCTAAAAAAACAATTTATTTTTGAAGGTATTTTGAATTCTTTTAAAAGGTCACTAATTCAATTCACACAACCTTTAAAAATATATTAATTTCTTTAACTAGTAAAATTAACAACACGTTAAAAAATAATGATACTAACAATATGAGATTTAGTATAGAATGTTTTAAATTTCAAAGACTAAATTAGAATGAGACATACATTAGAGAATGATATATAATATTTCACGTTTTATGGTGTAATTTAGAATATATCTAATAGCTTGGGTACATCATACGAATTGTCTTGTAATATCTTTTTGGGTAAACTTTTAAAAATAGCCTCTTACATTTCATAAATATACACATTTTTGGTCACTAAATTTAAAAAATTAATAATTTAGTCACTTACATTATCTATTTATAATAGTTTGATCACTTATATTATCAATTGTGATAGTATTTAGTGATTAAGACATTAAATGTGATTAATTTGATGATATAGTATATTAATATGAGAGATTAATTTGATTATTCTAAGGTAAGTACAAGATAATATTTGTTCCAAATAACTTTCAACCTTTCGACATTAATCATCGTCTTTGACAATTATTATTATTATATTTTTTTTATGAATCTTAAAATCCGATGTTTATAACATGGAAGAAAGTTACCGGCAAAGGGAGGGCATAAAAAGGCAAGCCAACCCGAATAGGCCTGTAAACGAGCCGAACGTACACGAACTGAGGTATGTTCATGTTCGTTCATTTAATAAATAAACGAACAAAATTTTTTTTGTTCATGTTCGTTCATTAAGGAATATAGCTTGTTCATGTTCGTTCATGTAAATGATAAACGAACATAAACGAACAAAAACGAACGAAAAATGAACATAAACGAACAACACAAACACAAAAAACAAACTTATTCGAACACAACAAATGAATGAAAAAAAAGTAAACAACAAGAATAACAACTTAAAATTCATTAATATAACCTGCAACTTTAGAGTTAATTTGTTCTATTACGAAAAAAACATACATAAATAATAAATAAACTATATGAACATAATAAAGTCTTAAAATTAATTTGTTCAACAAAACAATCCTCTTGAAATCCAAACAACTTCAATAATCTTCGTAACACATTCAACTTGTCTTTTGTTCAAACATAAATGAATGAACATAAATGAACGAACATAAACGAACATATAATCGAACGTTCACGAAAGTAAATGAACGAACGAGCATTTATTCGTATTCGTTCATTTAATTAAACGAACACAAAATCTTGTTCATGTTCGTTCATTTAATAAATAAACGAACATCTCGCCGCACGGTTCATAAACGGTTCGCTGACGTTCAGTTCATTTAGCCTAAACCCGAAAAAGAGCGAGAACTGGGTAGCTCTCAGCCTCTTAGCATCGATTTAGTCACAGTTCTATGAGTTGTAGCCAAAGCCAAAGCATTGTCCGTTGCGAAATCAACGAATATGCCACCAACAATGTTTCACCACTTAAACAAATTCTCTTTTCCCCCACACGTTGCTATGCTCCATTATTTTCCCTTCGTGTCTTCTTTTCCATTGTTTCTCTCCACGTGTCCCCGCATTTTCTCGTTGATCTCTCTTTATTCTGTATAAACTTTTCCCATGGGTTATTTTCTCTTGTTTTGATCTTTTCATTTCTTTTTTGGCTTGAATCATTTGATTTCATTGCTTGCATGTTTCAAAATGGTGAGAGTAAAGGGTTTTGTTTTAACTGAGGAAATATTGTTGAAAGGTGGAGGAATGATGTTTGATTGGTGGGATGAGATTGATGAATCTGATGAATGGCATAGATTCATTTTCTATTTCTTATCAGCTTCCTATGCTCTTGTTTCCATTCTTGCCCTGGTAATTTCTTACTTACCTACTTTTTTTTATTGCTTGGTTTGTGATGAAAAACTGGAATTAGAGAGAAGTAATGGTGTTTATTTGTTTTATCATGCATGCATGTGTATGTAAGCTTGAATCTTTGCTTGCAATTTCCTTTCACAGTGAAATCAAGATTTTCTTTCTTTGGTTCCTTGATTGTTTGATAGAAAATTGTGATTTGTATTCACAAGTTATTATTGAAATTATATTTACTTTTATTGTTGTTTCACTGATTCTGGGATTGGATTTAGATATCATTATTATGTTGCTTCAAGAATGCTCATTGTAATACCCTGAAAAAGTGTTTGGTGCTCTTCAAGAATGTTTGATATGGATATGCATTCGATACATTTATGCTCAAATTAATTTTCATATACTTGTAGTGTCATAAAGTGCAGGATATTTTAGTGAAAATGAAGAGTGTGAGTAACATAGGGGAAAGGGACTGTAGTTCATCGATTTCTGTCATGCTTGGGTCTATAATATGATAGTGAGATTCAAGTAAATCTCGACACTGCTATTTTCACTCAACTATCATGTTTTCTGTCCTAATTAATGATTGAACAATGCAAGACTAATGCTCTCTAATGACATTGATGCTTTAATATTTAGGTACAACTGTGTCGTATTCAATTGAGAGTACCAGAGTATGGGTTGACAACACAAAAAGTTTTCCACTCAATGAACTTGTTATGGTTGGAGAAGAAGAAGGACGAGGAAGCATAGAAGAAGAGAGACGAGGAAGCAGTGAGGAACAATTGGGAAATGAGGATCGAGGGTTAGCGATTGAAGATAGAGATTGGGAATTGAATCACGTGGTTTGCAGGGGAAACTTACCAAAGCAGAGGAGCAAGCCAGGCACGGTGAGAGTATGCTGGAGCAGCCCAAGACTGAAGGCCCAGAACCTGAAAAGAGAGAGAAGAATCATTTTGTTAGTTAGTTGTTATAAAGCTTGGACAGCTGGCAGGAATTCTATGGCTCATGTAACTAAATAATATTAGTCCTGATTGTAAAAACTCCCTTATGAAATGAATGAGGAAAACTTCTTTCTGTAATCTCTCTCAATTCTTCTTCTAAAACCTATTTCTTTTTTGATATTCTTCTCTACTAAATCCCTTCTATAACAAATTAGTAGCAGGAGCTACGATTATGGCAAGATTTTTGAGGGCATGCCAAAGAAGAACTAATTGATGGCAGAAGCTAATTTGGTCGGGATTTAGAAACAGATTAAAGACCTTGCTGCTTTGGTGAAACAAGGTCAAAATGAGACTAATCCACCTAAATTGTGGGAGACTCAGGAAAACAGGATTACTGCATTGGAGGCAAGGATGGCCACGAATCACAACTATGTGGAATATATACTGAAGAATTTAACGGGTAGAAATAGTGAACAAGAGCAGTCTGCAGGGGATCAAGTATACACTCCTAATAGCTCTAAAGATGGGGAGAAAAATCATGTTTTAGTGACTGTAGTTAAGGACAAATCAAGATTCTCTTATAAAACTGATGAACCTGGATTTTGAAGGATAAGCCTAATGCTTGTTTAGCCCTTAAGAATAGTTCTAGGCCTGACGATCAAATGGGTGAAAATAGTCAAACTAAACCTATTATGTTGGGACTAGAAACTGAAAATAGAGGACCAGGAGGTTCATTCAGCAGTTCAGGAACTATGTGGCATAGACCCAAAATAGATCTTCCTTTCTTTGAAGGGGTGAATCCTAGAGGGTGGATTCAGAAATGTTTGAAATATTTTTCTATTTGTAGTGTGCCTATGGAACAGAGAGTGGAGGTAGCCACTATGTATTTAACAGGCAAAGCAAAAATTTGGTTAGATGGTTATATAATGCAGAAACACCATGTAACATGGCATGAATTTCAAGCTGATATCTATCACATATTTAGTGATAGATCATTTTCTGATATTGTAGAAGAGTTTACTAAATTGACACAGAAGGGGTCTGTAGAGGAGTATCAAGAAAAGTTTGAAGAGCTATAGCATTATATGCTCCTACAGAATCCTACTTTGACTGAAGAATTTTTTGTGTCACTTTTTATTAGTGGACTCAGAGATGATATTAAGCATAGGGTTAAGGCTCTAGACCCTAAGAACTTGTTTGAAGCATGTAAACAAGCCAAGATTTATGAACTATCAGTAGAATTTGAAAATAAAAGATTCAGGCCTTCTTTTAAGATTCCACCCTACCCAAACCCCATAACTACATCTAAGACAACTGTACTGCCAGTAACTACAAAGCTTACTTCTATACCAAATCAAAAACAGAATCTTATGGAATATAGAAGGCAAAACAGTCTCTGTTTCAAATGTGGTGAAAAATATATTCCAGGTCATCAATGTAAAATTAAGCAGATAAATATGATTACTGAAGAAGTTGATACTTCTCCAGTAGAAGTTTATCCTAATGATACAGAGCAGTTTCAACAACAAAAAGAGGAGAATCTGGAAATTTCTATGAATGCCATTGCTGGCTGCATTGGGCATAATACATTAAGAATTCAGGGCAATATTCAGGGAAAACCATTGTGTATCCTAATTGACAGTGGCAGTACACATAGTTTTTTGACTCCTAAATGGACTGATGCTGGCATACAGGTGAAGACTGCTTATCTTTTGGCCATTACTGTAGCTAATGGCCAACAGTTGTTCAGTTCTGCTAGGTGTAACAAAGTACAATGGGAAATGCAGGGACATAATTTCTTACATGATTTTAGGTTGCTTAAATTGGGAGAAAGTGATATGGTCTTGGGATTTGATTGGATGAAATTATTCAGTCCAATTTTGATGGATTTCAATAATATGACCTTAAGTTTTGGTCAGGGAGGGGAACAGATTTGTATTCAAGGTGAGCAACCCACAACTGAATTACATCAAATCTCAGGAGCTACATTATTTAAAATGAGTGCAAGGGATTCTGATATTATGGGCCATATTGTATTATTGACTATGGCAGGAAGCTCTCCTACTGTTCCTATTGAACTGCAACCTATCTTGGATAAATACAATAAAGTTTTTGCTGAACCTGATGGATTACCCCCTCAGAGGACACATGATCATGCAATTCCACTAATACTTAATGCCACATCAGTTAACCTACGACCTTATCAATTTCCTCACAATCAGAAGGCTGAAGTTGAAAAGCATATAGCTACTATGATTTATTCTTCTATTATTCAACCTAGCAGGAGTCCTTTTGCTTCTCCCTGCTTGCTTATTAAAAAGAATGATGGTACTTGGAGGTTTTGTGTGGACTATAGACAACTAAACATTTTGACCATCAAAGATAAATTTCATATTCCTATAGTGGAAGACTTATTGGATGAATTACATGGGGCAGTTTATTTTTCAAAGATTGATTTGAGGTCAGGCTATTGGCAGATTAGAATTAAGGCAGATGATATCTATAAGATAGCCTTTAGAACTCATCAAGGGCATTATGAGTTTAAGGTAATGCCTTTTGGTCTTACTAATGCACCTGCTACATTTCAAGCTCTCATGAATGAATTATTCAGTTCTTTTCTTAGAAAATTTGTGTTAGTTTTCTTTGATGATATTCTGGTGTATAGCAGTAGTATGCAGCAACATGTTAAACATTTACAGATTGTTTTGGAAGTTTTGAAGGTGAATCAGTTATTTGCAAAATTGTCCAAGTGTTTTTTTGGACAGACTAAGGTGGAGTACCTTGGTCATATTATTTCTGCTGCAGGGGTGTCTATTGATCCTAGCAAAGTAGAAGTTATGCAGACTTGGCCTCAGCCTAAAACCCTTAAATCTCTAAGAGGGTTTATAGGTCTAACAGGGTATTACAGGAGATTTATCAAGAATTATGGCATTATTAGCAGACCATTAACAGAAATGTTAAAGAAGAATGGATTTCATTGGAACTCTACTGCTTATACTGCCTTTGAATGCCTTAAGAAAGCTATGTGTTCTGCTCCAGTTTTAGCATTGCCATATTTTTCTAAGACATTTTATCTGGAAACAGATGCTAGTTCTGGAGGTATAGGGGTTGTTCTTTCACAAGAGGGAAGACCTATTGCTTTTTTGAGTAAAGCTCTAAGCCCTAAACATTCAGCTTTATCTATTTATGAAAGAGAATATCTTGATATTCTCTTGGTTGTTTCTAAATGGAGGCATTATTTGGAGAGTGCACCTTTTGTTATTAAGACTGACCATGAGCCATTAAAGTTTCTGTTGGAACAGAAGTTGACTACTACTATTCAGAAAAAAGGGTTGACAAAGTTATTAGGATTAGACTATACTATTAAGTATAGAAAGGGCAAATCAAATGTGGTTGCTGATGCCTTATCTAGAATATGGGAGGATGAAGCTCACTGTTTAGCTATGGGAGTGACAGTTTTGATACCTAGTTGGGTTCAGGAGATTGAGGAAAGCTATAAGGGTGACACTTTAGCTCAGAACTGGATTTCAATTTTATCTATTAGTCCTGTTACTGACAATAAATGGAAGTATTCTGGAGCTATTCTGAGATATGATGGAAGAGTTTATATGGGAGCTACTGGCAGCCTTAGAGTGCAGATTATATAATCTTTACATGATTCTCCTCAGGGGGGACATTCAGGTGCTCATGCCACTTATTATAGGATTAGGTCAAATTTTTATTGGCCAAATCTTAAAGCAATGGTTGCTGCTTATGTTAGATGTTGTAAGACTTGCCAGCAAACAAAAGTGGAACATGTAGCAAAGCCTGGGTTACTACAGCCACTGCCTATTCCTAATCAGGCTTGGGAAATTATTACTATGGATTTCATTGAAGGGTTGCCTACTTCACTTATGAAAAGTTGTATTTTGGTAATTATGGATAAATTTACCAAGTACAGTCATTTTCTACCTTTAGCTCACCCCTATTCTGCAGCAGAGGTGGCTAAGCTCTATTTAGATAATGTGTACAAATTACATGGCCAGCCTAAAATGGCCATTTCTGATAGGGATAAGACTTTCACAAGTATTTTTTGGAAGGAATTCATGAAACAGTTGGGAACTAAGACACTGTTCAGCACTGCTTACCATACAAAAACAGATGGGCAAACAGAGAGAGTTAACCAGTGTTTGGAGCAGTATTTGAGAGGGATTTGTTTCTATCAACCTAAGCAGTGGGCTAAGTGGCTACCACATGCTGAATGGTGGTATAATACCACTTATCATACTGCCCTAAAGTTAACACCCTTTCAGGCTTTATATGGTTAGAAACCACCTATTATGGTTTGGCCTACAGAGTCTACAGTACAAACAGTTGCAAAAATTATGAACAATAGAGAGGTTACTAAACAATTGCTTAAGACTCAACTACAAATGGCAAGTAATAGAATGAAGCAACAGCAGGATAAGAATAGAACTGAAAGGGTTTTTGAGGTTGGGGATAGAGTTTACCTTAAATTGCAACCCTACAGGCAGGCATCCATTGCCCTGCGAAAAAACTTGAAGTTAGCAGCAAAATATTTCGGGCCTTATCGAATTCTAGAAAAGATTGGGACAGTGGCCTATCGTTTAGACTTACCGGAGTCCTCTAAATTGCATCCAGTTTTCCATGTCAGTTTTCTGAAAAAGTTCATCGGCGAATCAACGACGGCTGCCACCGAACCTCCTACGGTGGATGAAGACGGAATGTTACAAATCCAACCTTTAAAAATTATGGCTCGAAGAATCGTAAATAGACAAGGCAAACCTGTGACTCAACTTTTGGTTCGCTGGAAGAATCTTGCTGAGGAGAATGACACTTGGGAGGATTATTCGACTCTCAAAAGCCAGTTTCCTGCGTTTGATCCTTGGGGACAAGGCTTGTCTCGAGGGGTGGGTATTGTTATGGTTGGAGAAGAAGAAGGACAAGGAAGCATCGAAGAAGAGAGACGAGGAAGTAGTGAGGAACAATTGGGAAATGAGGATCGAGGGTTAGGGATTGAAGATAGAGATTGGGAATTGAATCACGTGGTAAGCACGGGGAAACTTACCAAAGCAGACGAGCAGGCCAGGCACGGTGAGAGTATGCTGGAGCAGCCCAAGACTGAAGGCCCAGAACCTGAAAAGAGAGAGAAGAATCATTTTGTTAGTTAGTTGTTATGAAGCTTGGACAGCTAGTAGGAATTCTATGGCTCATGTAACTAAATAATATTAGTCCTGATTGTAAAAACTCCCTTATGAAATGAATGAGGAAAACTTCTTTCTGTAATCTCTCTCAATTCTTCTTCTAAAACCTATTTCTTCTTTGATATTCTTCTCTACTAAATCCCTTCTATAACAAAACTTTATTGTGAATGGATGTAAGGGTTAAGTATTTCCTGCCACAGCTTTGCCAGCAGCTGTTTTATAACTTTGGCTATTAAATTTGTGTTGCATTTTAACAGTGAGGGCTGTTGTGTTCGGTTTCTACAAGAGTGTGTTTCTCATTAAATCCAAGGTATGGATCATCATTTAGAACTTTAGAGTCATTGTACCTGAGTTCCAGGCTTTATGTGTTATTTTTGTTGAAAGAGTATTTGGTTCATCTAAATAGTTCCTTTTTGTTTTGGGACTCGTGTTTGGTTTCTGGCGGCAATATGAGAAACCAAACGGGTAACTTGTCATGTTATACCCATATAACAATGACCATTTTGCAGTAAAATTTGGAAGTAAAATTTGGAACGTGTGTGTGAAAGTTTATATTCTTTAAGTCCAATCATCAATAAGAGGAAATGAGTTTAGTAGTTGAGTATTGAAGTATCAAGGGCAAGACAAGAGATAGCTCCAAGCCTCCAAGTGTAATAGTTTGCAATCTGTTGCAAATATGTTATGTGTTATTCTACAAGAATAAAACCCTAAGCAACCTCTATTTAAGATGACTATTCTTAGTAATAAAGACACTAGGAATATTACTAAAATAAACTTAATTGTGTTCTTTCCATTTTCGATGCCTTTGACATCTTGTCTTGCCCACAAAGGCAACCATAACATCATGATTTGCTCCATCTTTTCGGAATGTGTTATCGCTTCGGAAGTAGACCTTCTATTATTTCTGATCATCTGAGGAAAAAGTTGTTATATCAATGACTCTAGGCCACTGTACATATTTTCTTACTCGGCTTCATCACCCTAAGATTACATTCACGATACAGGCACTTGAAATGGTGCTTCTGGATCTTCTTGGTCTTTTGTTTTTCTCGACATATACATTGCTTGTCCTTTTCTGGGCTGAGATATATCACCAGGTAGACAACCATCCCTTTCTAGAAGTCCTTCGACATAAGTAATCTCCATCTCTGTATTAGTTGATGCTTGGTCGTTCTCTTCCTTTTTATTGTTTAGGCAAGAAGTCTTCCAATTGATAAACTTCGGCCTGCATACTATAGCATCAACGGACTTATATACTTTGTTCAGGTAAAAGGAACAATGTAATCACTCATCAGCCATTAACTACACCTAAGTAAATGATTTTTTTGAACTTAATAACATTTGTCTAAGTTGCTTACTTGTTTCCTCTGCTACCAGGCATATCTATGGATTTCAATAAGATTAAGAAAGAGCTATCTTACAGTGGAAATTAGTAAACTCTTTGTTTCAGGTAAGGTCCCCCTCGCCCAGATTTTGTATCAGTTTAGCGGCCCTGTTAATTTGCATTAAACGGACAAGAAACAAACTGAAGTAATATTGCAATTTTCAATGGTCTAACATGGTCTGAACAGTCATTTTATTTAATTAATGAACATGTCTGGTCTTTTCTTCTTGCCAGTTATATCGTTCTTTGCTGCATTGGGGTTCATGATATATGGTGGGAGTTTGTTCATCATGTTGAGAAGGTTCGCAATCGAATCGAGAGGCCGCCAGAAAAAGCTGTTTGAGGTATGGTAATTTGCATCATTAAAGAATTTGGCATTTATTAAAGAGAAAATAACCTCAGTGACCAAAAATCTCATATAATATACGATTTTAACCAACTTTTTCCGGATTTTCCAAAATGACCAACAAAATCGCAATGCGATCGCTAATTCGCAACGCGATATCCATTATCGCAAATTCGCGTTGCATTTTCGCAATGCGATAGTTGGAAATCGCGTTGCGATGGTCTACAGTATCGTTGCGATTTTCCCAATTCACAATGCGAATAAGTAAATCGCAACGCGAATTGGGAAAATCGCAATGCGAATAAGTAAATCGCAACGCGAATTGGGAAAATCGCAATGCGATACTGACTATCGCAATGCGATAATAAAAAATCGCAACGAGATACTTACTTTCGCAACGCGATACTGACTTTCGCAACGCGATAATACATAATCGCAATGCGATTTTCAAAGCGCCATTAGTATCCTGGCCAAGTATATTATTTTTAAATTCCAAACATGAATATTAATATATTGGAACACTGAACTGTCCACAGTATATCCCGTAATCGCAACTCATAACCTAAAACCTAAAATCACAACTCAGTCCCATCTCCATCTCTCACTCTCTCACCCATCTCCGACGAAATCTGTCCCCATCTCCGGCGAAATCCATCTATCTCCATCTCTCAGAGCCACCCTCACAATCAAAAATGGAAAATCAACCAAATCAACCAACGAGGGTTAGTTTTTTTAATTATTTTCTTTTTGAAATTTTTGCATTATTATTAGGTTTTTCATATTGAAATTGATGATAAGTTTACTGGTAATTTCAATAATAGATTAACCATTTCACTTAGATTGCTTATTAAATCAACCAAGAATCGCAACGCGAAATGCAAATCGCAACGCGATTTTAGTTTCGCGTTGCGATTCTCTCGTTGCGATAGTCATTTTCGTGTTGCGATTTTCATTTTCAGAAACTATTCTTCTTCTGCAAATTGAAACTTGAATGAATTGCATTACTTCAACCAAAAAACAAAGACAAATACGAAATTCACAGTGTTGCATATTTAAGTTTGAAGAATAAACTACTACTATTTATGTTTATTATTGTTTTTGGTATATCTTCACAGTGTAGTTTTTGGTATATCTAATTTAGTATGTTTATTGTTTTTGTAGAACTTTTATTCGGCTCAATTGACCTTGAGAAATAAAGTCAGCCTGGCCAAAACAATTGCGTCGAAGCTTTCACCTGCACAAAGAAAAATGTTTGAGGATACATGCTTCGGGCCATGGCTGAAAGTACAACATCCCGGTGGAGATGCAATGTTGACACACCTGTTTCTTCAAACCATGACTAGCGATCTACCAGAGAATATACAACGTCGTGATGAAGAGATATGGTTTGATTTTCCACCGGCGTATACGTGTTTTGGGCGGGAGGAGTTTTGCTTAATCACCGGTCTACGCTTCGGACACGATGATGTAGGTCGGTACACTAGACACATTACCCGCCCATCATGGCTATCCCGGGTTTTTCCTGAGCTGGAGAGGCCGAGTCTACACGTAGAAGACCTGACAAGATTTTTGAATAATAAAGATGGTTTTACTCGGATGGATGACGTCGACGTTGTCTGAGTATGCCTTCTAATTCTTTTGCATGCCGGCTTTTTAGGCAGAGAGGCCAGACAACCTATTCCAAATGATCTAATCAAATTAGTAGAAGACCTAAATGCGTGGAACCTGTTTCCGTGGGGCTCGTATTTATGGAAAGCTACATGGAATAAGTTATCGTCTGCCTTGGATGATCGAAAAAGTTTGCATGGCGATGGTTCCAAATACACTTTGACAGGCTTTATTTGGGCCTTTAAGGTAAGAATTTTTATATGATGTTTCCAAAATTATAAGTAATTATTTAACAATTACTAATGTTTGTTATTATATTGTTTGTAGATTTGGATATTTGAGGCCTTTCCCGCCATGAAGACATATGCAATAAAAACTTCAAATGATATTCCCAGGGCTATTTCCTGGAAGAGGAAACGGACCTTGCAATGGGAAGATTTACTACGGTATACGACAATAAATAATGTAAGTTAACATAAATACTACCATATGTTTATAAACAAGTTATTACTAGTACACGTTTAACTTTGTTTGAGCTTTTATATTGTTAGGAGGCCAACACTCCTCTACAGAGGCTGACACCCACGGAAGCTGAGCTTGCCACTGATTGGTGGCAAGCTAGTAAGCGTTTTTTTGATGGAACGGTTGATGAGCAGCCTCCACTTCGGGAGCCATCACCTCGCCCAGAGCTATCACCTCACCCAGAGCCATCATCTGATCGACCCGGCTATACACCTCCACAACGACAGCCATCACCTATTCTGTCACATCATCGAGCCTCTTCTCCACCATCACCGCAAGATAGGCGACCGGCAAAGATGCCACGACGTTTATCTCCCTGTTCTCCACCTCCACCTCAACGGGATGAGTTAGGGGAGTTACGTGATGAGGTCAATGCCTTGCGTGAGGAGGTCGGTACTTTACGCAAAGACGATGGTGCATGGCGTGTTGAGGTGTCTACATTACGCGGTAAGGTAGCCGCTCTACGTGAGATGGTAGCATCGTTGCAGAATGAGGTGAATACTCTACGCAACGAGGTAAGTTTAAGATTTTTCATACTCGTAATTCATTCGGTTGCTGCCAATACTGCTAAACTGTTTTTGTTAGTATTTGTTTTTGGTTTTGTTTTTGTCTTTTGGTTGAAGTAATGCAATCCATTCAAGTTTCAATTTGCAGAAGAAGAATAGTTTACTTTCGCAACACGAAAATGACTATCGCAACGTGGAAATGGCTATCGTAATGCGAAATGAAAATCGCAACGACAAAATCGCAACGCGAAATGAAATCGCAACGACAAAATCGCAACGCGAAATGAAAATCGCAATGCGATTTGTGTTTCGCGTTGCGATTTTGTCATTGCGATTTCATTTCGCGTTGCGATTTTGTCGTTGCGATTTTCATTTCGCATTGCGATAGCCATTTCCGCGTTGCGATAGTCATTTCGCGTTGCGATTTTAAGTTTCGTGTTGCGAAAGTAAACTATTCTTCTTCTGGAATGTTTATATATGTTGTCCTTTTAAATGTTTATATAAGTGCTTACTTCTGGAATGTTATCTGAGCATTTTGTAAACTATGATAGAATAATGATTTGGGTGAATACAATGCTAGTTTGAAACATATTTGTCTTTGTTTAATATCATGCCTGTTTATTTACTGATTTATGTATTAATTTTTTTTAGCGGCCCGATAAGGTGGATGCTTTACGTCGGGTTTTCCTTGCACAACGGAGTTCACGCATCAGACGACGTGGACGTGCTATTACGTCTCTGTTCACCCCAATAGTGCGAAGACTCCGCAAGAAGATGCCCGACTCACCGGTCATCCCTCAAGAGTCCCCTCCAATCGTTCAAGAGGCCCCTATTCTCCCTCAAGATTCCCCCCCCCACCGTTCAAGAGGCCACTGTCATCGTTGAAGAGGTCCCTCCCACCATTCCAGAGCCCGATTCACATGGGGTAATATATCGAAGTATTGAGAAACCCCCACCGGTTCCGGACATGATGGATGAGAGTTGGCTCTCGTATGAGTTACCAGCTAGTACCCTTCCGGTATCTGAAGTGGAGAGGAGACAACTACCGGAAACAATTGTGGATAATACCCTTTGGGCTAAGACCGCAGTTGATTTTTATCTACATGAGCGGAGCCAAGGGTGTTACACTGACATCAACAAACTCAACGATGAAATGTTTTTGTTGCTTGATCGGTCTTGGTGGGGTGTGCTATTAGGGGTTGAAGACAGTGGCTATTTGGATGGGGAGGTAAGTCTTATATTTGTCTTATATATGATTTTGATTAATTTGTTTAAAAATTAATGTAATTCACTAATATATGTATTTTTTTGTAAAACAGCATATCGATGCGTGGGTGTCACGTCTACTAATAATAAGGAAGCTTAGGAAAAATAAAAAAAATTCGCTATATACAATAATGCCAATGGCTTTTCACGCAGTTCACTTGAAGAATCAACGGGATGAATCATTTTTGTTGGGCAATGGACAAGCTAAACTTTATCATGCATGGTGGGAGGTCGATAAGGTTAGTGTTTATTTTTTAAATTTTTTAAAGGTGTTCATAAATAAGTGTGCAAATAAATGAATTATTACTTATGATCGCAGGTGTTTATCCCTGTTTTGGAACGTCGTCATTGGCTTCTCGTCCAACTTCAGCTCCCATCCCTGAAGATAATAGTGTATGACAGCATGATCAATTACATATCACTGTCTGATTTGAGAGATATTTTCAAGGGATGGAGCTCTCATTTGGCTAAATTCTTGGATGGGATTAAGTATTAGAGTCATTCTGGACACAAGAAGCCAAAGAAGTTCAATGTCACAGTTTTCAGAGACGAGACCGCGCCACAGCAATCGCCGGGAGCCAGAGGGGATTGTGGTCCTCTCGTATGCCTTTGCTTGGCGCGTTTGACGACGGGAATCACAGAGTTTTTACCTCCCACCGATAGAGATAGAGCTGCAGTAGGCTTGTGGTTTCGGCATTATATGGCTAGAGCAATATATTCGAGATGCTGACTACCTGCATCCGCGTTATGAAAGTGTCCATTGTTAATTGGTATGTCAAATGCAAGTTTTGTTAACATATATACTCCTTTTGGTTTGAAAATGTTTGGTTAAGTACCTAGAATTCAATAATTTGCTATTTGTAGGTTTTAGATGTGTAGGAAGTCTTGTTTGAGAAAATGTTTGGTTTCTGCAGGTTAATCCTTAAGTGAGCTGCGTGAAATGGATGTACGGGGTCACAAAGTTGTTGATTCATTGATTCAATAATAATTGATGAAGAAATAACAATTATTATTATTTTTTGATTGTTTAATTGATTTGTAAAAGATGATTTGTAAATGTTGATTTGTTTAATTGATGTGTACATAATTTGTGTTG